AATTAAATACTTAAGTTTAACTACTATTTTCTTCCTTAAACTAATACCTAAGTTGTCTTCATTGTCATATTTTAAAGTTTGTTTAATTCTATTTTTATTTCTACATAGTTCAGTGGTTCTCAACTGTTTTAAACTTGGGTCACAGAACAGAGTTCATTACATAAACTATTACTGCAATAATTCCAGACAGAGTACACATGTTTAATGCAATTCTATACTCACACACACACACACACACACACACACACAATGAAAAGTGTGGTCTCTCAAATAATAAAAGTTTATAAGACTCAAGCACCTGTTTGTACCTAGTCTTGCTCACTAACTTAAAACTTATGTTGTGTCTCATGTTGTGTCATTATGAAACTTGCTATACTGATAAAGATATGTGATGTAGTTGGATTGCAATTATGTGACAAGTATGTATTTACACAGTGAATACGTGGAACTCCAATATCTTGTGGAACCCTGGTTGAGAAGCACTGACATAGTTAATAATGATGTCACAAAAAGTTTGCTCCTATTATGCAAGAAAATAATTTTTGGAAACTCATTAATATTTATCCATAATTCACTCATGATCACTGAAAAAAATAATTACATTTTCAACAGTTGTTTTTCAATAAAGCTTTTTGAGTTTGTTGGCACAGAGGAAAAGCTTGTGATAGGGCATACATTTTTACCTCCATTATACACTTATTTCTGTGTAAATTTGAATGTGTATATTAAACATTTGTGTGTAGAACAAATATGTAAGCAGAAAGGATAACAGTTAAGCATTATTTTAACAGTAAGTGGCACGTTTCATCACATAGTGTTTTTTGTATGTATGTGTTTGTTTTAGCTGAGTTTAGTAATAGGTTTGGTTAACTGGCCTAGTTATTTTATAAAGTAATGAAATGATCCATTTATTGCCGTGTTTGATCAATTTCAAATAATAAAAGACTTATTTAATTACATTTGTCATAAGACATTAGAATTAGGCTAGATATATTTTTAACAACTGGCTTATATAAACAGTATTCTGATCACTGCTGTGTTTGTTGTATCCTAGCAAGGATGAGAAGCTCTGTTATTGAGTGAAAAACATTGTTGGCAACAGACATGGTGGACATAGTGTGATTGAAAACTGTTATAAATTCTCATTGTTATTGAAAAACCCTAAGGATATGAATAAAGAATGTAGTGTTAAAAAAAATATATATATATCTTTTGACAAATATAATTTATTATAATCATGCTTTGCTATACATTAACCGTACAGTAATATATCTATACAGCAGAGTTAAGATATTGTTTTTTAATTTTATTACATGTGTGCTATCTCATAATAAGGCAAATTATTTCTGTTGTAAAATAAATGGATGTCTGTATAAATGTCAAATTACTGAAACAAGAAAGATTGTGTTCCTTATGAAGCAATACACTTATACTGGAAGGTCTAATATTCTAGCCACAAGATCTTGTCCTTAAGACACTAGCCCATATTGACGAAAGTGTTCGCATTGAAGCAGTAATGTTAGTATGTACATCACAGAAGAAGACTGGTAAGTCCTGAACTAGATTATTTTCCTTCTTTTCTGTTCTTGTGCCTCTGTTTATATGTAACCATTTTGCTTAACTTATTATTTTCATTTACTTGTAACTCATATTGACATCTTTGAAAGTAAAACAATTTTCTGTGTGCTTTTTTCAAGTTATTTTTTTACTTATTGAAGTAGTTTTGTAAATGATTGCTTTTCTGTAGACGTACCAAAGGCAAACTTTAGTTTTTCTTTCTTTTTATCAACATTAGAGCTCCCTACTTTGCTGGAGATTGAGACACTGAAAGATTTCTTATCCAACAACCTTAACATAGATAGCGGCCCATTTCGCTGCCAACTGTTCAAGCATGTCACGACATTTCTTGTTCGTATCAGGGATGGAGCACTAAGTTCAGTTGATTTTAAAAAACAAAATTTATTTACCAGCATTCCATCAGTATTGAAAGAAAGTATTTGTAAGTATATTTAATGACCGTTATTATAAAACTGAAAAGAGTAAAATTGTAGTCATGTTTTGTTTTTATTACTTATTAAATTCCGTAATGCTTACTGGAGTGTAGTCCACATAAGTATGAATAAAAGAAACAACCATAAACTCCAGGGAATCTTCTGAAGTTTTTTTTTCATTTGCTCAACCTTTTGGTTTTACGCCTTCATCAGGGGGCATACATCTTACTTTAATGGACTTAGCATGCATATATATGTATCTATGTATGTGAGTGAAATAATGTATACAATATGACACCATCTATTGAATGGCACCACCAACAAAAATCCATAAATTTCTCACTTTGGATATTCAAGATTCAGACAGAAAAATAATTATGGTATGTGCAACAACCACTTCGTTATCACAGAACATAATTTTAAATTACAGTACTCTCCTCACAACAAGAACACAACTTTCACTAAGACTGTAATGAGGGTTTGATTATGTCTTTATTGATGTAATTTATAAATATAGTACCAAAAAGTGGAGTTCTTAAGAATATTATTTTTTTCAGTATAGGGTACCACTTTTAATATACAAAAACATTACAGTTTATATTGGCACAATCCAAACACTTTTTCCCTTACAATACTTTCCAGAATAATCCTTTTTTTAAAAAATGTTCACTTTTTCTAAATTTTTCAATGAGGTACAAATTCTACGATTAGTAATTACTAGCACAAACAGCCACCTGTGACGTTTCTGCTAGTATTCTATAATTAACTCAAGTTAATATAGTCTGTTACAGAAAATTAATGTTCCATGTGAAGGCGTAATATTGAAATGTTGAGTAAATAGAAAAATTACTGTAATAATCTGATTTAAATAAACATATGCAATGACAATATTTCAGGAAAACATTACAACTAGTCTAGTTGAATGTTATTGGAGATGTATTCATGATGTTAGGAAAACTCTAGGTTCGAGAAATCAATTTAACACAAAAATATGATACCCTATAGCCCTAGTGCTTTTGAAAGGTGGACTTTAAGGGCAAACTGAAGAAGTAAGGTTCACCTTTTGAAAATCCTCGAGTTAGAGTGTATGGTACACTTGTGTTATTAAATTGGAAGTGTATTGATACTAACATGGATATCTCATGTTGTAATGATCATCTCTTAGGAAAGGCAGATACAGAGATAGGGAATTCAAACTGCCTCTATACTGAGATATTAACAGTTCATTAAACTTTAAGTTCTATGAGAACCAGCAGGTTATACTGTGATTAGTAAACAAAGGAGTTCACTAATATACATAAAAGTTACGTTAAGATTACCATCAGTAAGTGGTGCTTATAATAAGTCTAGGAGTTAGCAAGTCCTAGTTAAGGAAGTGTTTAATTAAAACTTAATTAGCTAAACATGAAGAGCATTTTTATTCCTACATCCTGGTGTCATAATTTTATGTTAAGTGTTTTGAAATTATGAAGTGTACATCATGTTGAGGTAGGCAGTAAAAATAAGATAGCTGTGAAAAATGTTTGTTTTTTCCAGTCCTGTTGATTAAAACATGACTTCTAACTTTGCACTTAACTAGTTGATATTGCTCATGTACTGAATCACACACAGTGGCCCCGCTTACCTCCTTCCATTTTTGGAAATGGTCCCTTATATACAATTACTTCAATATATAGTGTGAATATCCAATCGAAAGCTCAGAATGTTACCCCTAGAGGCTTTTTCAGCCATTTTAAAGCGTTAGGATGCCATCTCATACTTTCAAATTAAGATTTTAAGGAGGTCAGTTGTGTCTTTAGCCTGCTTGAAATTTCATATTTTTTAGATCCAAATACAGCTTAATTACTAAGATTGATAAATTATAGTAGAATTCTATGGTATTGATATAGTAATTTATGATTTTTTGGTTAATCAACTATATATATAAAACCTAAAATTAATTATTTTGTTTCGTATCCTCCACGTGCAAAATTTTAAAAGGCTTATCAACCTACGTCAAGCAGCATGTTACAAAGGCTGTAACTAGAAGAGATAATTGTTTGCTTTACTTCTTTATTTACTGTTATCTGTTTTTAAAAAATAAGTTCAAGAACTTCTTTGTAAATTGTATTAATGTAGATACATACATAATATGTAATAACTGAAATGTGACTGTATTTTACAAAATACTAGTCCACTAAAACACAGCCTACACTAAAGGTCAGTTTTATAATATTTGATACGGTAACATGGGAGCATGTGTGCCATGTCATTGCAATATCTGTATTATTAGTCAGGTATGGTTGAAAGGTCGATATAATAAAAATAATAAATATATATAAATGTATAACGTTATGAGATCTGAGCTATTTAGTCTAAATATTTATGTTTTAGTTTTATGATTTGTTGTCATTCTAGAATGAAAGAGACATAATTTATATTTATTTCCTATTTTTTATGGTGGTTACAAGATCGATCAAATCTACCGAACCCATACAGAGATTAACTAGTGAAAATAATAGATAAAAGTTAAAGTTTTTACTTAAGACATTATCTGGACATTATAAAGATTTCGCATGTGAAATATGAAAATTTTCTGATGCATAAAAGTATGTTTAATACAAAAATGAAAATTACTTCACATGTTGGATAGGCAACATGCAAAAAGAAAAAAAGCATGAGAAAAACATTGCTTAACAAACTTTACAACTTAATAAACAAAATTTGATATTTTGCTTATGAAAGCATTGTAATGTTTACTGATAATCTGCCAAATTTTGTTAACAAATGCTTACTAATTTAAGAGGTATAGCATGAAAACTATAACAAGCACATAATAGTTATAATGTCAGTACCAGGGACCGAGCCCATGCTGAAAGATTTAATGGTTGTGACAAAGGAGTTTTTTTCAACTGTGTTGACTAAAACAGGATAATGTAAAAAAAAAATGCAACAAAGATTAATAATAATTTGAAGTTTAACCTGATTCTTGAACTTTTTTCAGATAATATGAATCTTGCAGGCTTTTTTGATTGACTTAATAATGAGAAATCTCATTCCTGGCTTTGAATCTTTCAGACTTTATTGATTGGCTGCTAGGCCTAATCACAAAGAATTTTATTCCTAACTTTGAATCTTTCAGGCTTTGTTGATTGGCTGCTAGATTTAATTGCAAGGAACCTCATTCCTGGCTCATCCTTTCAACGTCGCCACTCGTGTTTATCCATTTTCCTCGTTATCCTGGAAACATTCTGTTCTGAACCCAATCCTCAGAGAAAAAAGGGAGTTCCTCCAGGTAAGCTATTTTCAAGTGGCATTGATGCTTTAAGTTATTGTAGAATTTTTCAATATACTGATTTCTCATGTTTCAGGTTTTTCAGCATGTTTTAGGACTGATTGTTTGAACTAATTTTATAATGCCAAGTTTAAAATAACTACTGTATCAGCTTTGGTAAGAAAACACAGTTCCATGCTAGTGGGTTTTCTTATTTATTTTTGAGTTAAAAACATTTAAATTATCATGGTAATGCTATAAATGTTTAGAACCTGAATGATAATGTTGTTATAAAGATTTTTCACTAAAAATGACTGGTGATAAAAAAAAAATATTTGTAAATAAAAAATATCTGCAATTTAAAAAAAATGGTCTGTAACAATTCAGCAAAAGAGCTCAGACCTGATGGGTTAACATACGAGAAGGACACCTCAGGAAGTTGTGTCAACTGAAATAGGCAGTGAAACAGAAGATTGTGATTTTTTTATAGGATGACTGTAGTTGTATACACAAAATGCCTACAAAACTAAATCCTTGTACACTGTCTTGGTGGCGAGATGCATGATGTTTATAAATATTCTAATATTGATCTAGTCCAGCGTTTCCTAACCTTTTTTGCTGCAGTGCCACCTTCAGCAAACAATGAGTGTTAATGCCACCATCTAATAAGTTTTTAATACAAATAATGAAAGTGGTGTCAAAAAAAATATGCTCAATGAATGGAATGGGCATTATTTTTCACAAACACACCCACACAATGATTTTTGATCAAATAGTGTTGAAAGAAAAACCCCTATCTCTTCTGATATAATTTTAACAAATATAATTTTGAAACTCTCAAAACTTTTTTCCACCCCCCTGCTGCTTCCCTCAAAATTTACTGCCCTCCTGAATTTTAAAAACGTCCACTAGGGGGCAGTACCACCCAGGTTGGGAAACACTGATCTAGTCAATAATAATCTCACAATTAATGTTAGTAGAAGCTTAATACAATTATCATGTTGATAGACTTATCCACAATATCTAAGTGCTCATTGTTAAAGTGACTGAAATATTTGTGCATTTACACTGTGAATAACTATGATGTAAGAATTCTCACAAAGTAGAGTTCAAAAGATCCAGAAATGGGGCACTTTTGAATAATAAATTGCAGTTTTTCTTCAGGAAGAAAAAAAATGAAGAATAGTCAAATATTTGAAAGTGTTCGAGTCTTTTGTACTCTACTGTGTGAACAAGATGGTGTTTTTCTTTTTTGTTCTCTGTATATTTATAGAAATGTTCCCTGGTGGGTCAGCTATAAACTTATGGAATTACACAACTAAAATCTGGGGTTTGATTCTTCATTGAGGGGACAGTGTGCAAATTACTCATTATATAGCTTTGAACTGAGTCAAATTTAAAGAAATAGTTTTTTTTGTAAAACAAAAAACAGATATTAATGAAAGTATTTTGTAAAAAGAAAACAGTCACCCCATTGTAATGGTTTCTCTTTAAATGTGTCTTTTTTTTTTTTAACTTAAAGATGTGTTCTCATTTACTGATAAGATATTTTAAATTTCAAATTGAAGTAACAAGGTTTTGTGTTTAGTTCTCAAAGCTGTGCATAAAATGAGTGTTTAAAGTTGAAATGTGGGATACTTCCAAATAAATTGAACAGGACTTATTCCTTATCTTTACTGGAATAAAAAGAAAATAGGAATTTGTTCATAATGTTTCTGATTTGTTTTTTGTTTTTCATTTACAGCTAAAACTCATCTGCTTGTCCAGCTTGTACAAAACAATGGGAAATGGGACTTCTTTACTGTGCCAATATTGTATACTATTATGACCTGTATGATGGATATGGTTGATGAGGTAAGGCTAAAATTATTTATCAAATTATTTCTTTAAACAGCAAAATTTTATAGAAAACTGTTTGGTTCATAAAGTAATTCAGGTAATTTTTGTAAACATTATGGAAAATTGGATTTTAAAATGTGTGTATGGTTTATTCTTGTCAGTTTGGAGATTTATCTGTTTTGGTTCAATTTTGTAGAAGTCTGCTTTGTTAAAGTGAAATGTAGAATATCTTGTATAATGAGGAATGCATACTTGATTTTTTTTAAGAATTAATTTTTTTTTTCTATAACAGAAGACAGTCTTTTAATTATAAAAAAAATTTAATGACTTTATGGTAACTTTATTCTCATCCAAATTTTAGTTTTTGAAAGGACTTTCATAGTTTGTTACAAACAAAATGATTTATGTTAAAAGAATTTGATTACTTGGATTGATTGTTGCTGGTGTTTCAAAACGTAACTTGGATTGATTGTTGCTGTTGTTTCAAAACGTAACTTGGATTGATTATTACTGGTGTTTCAAAACGTAACTTGGATTGATTATTACTGTTGTTTCAAAACGTAACTTGGATTGATTGTTGCTGTTGTTTCAAAACGTAACTTGGATTGATTATTACTGTTGTTTCAAAACGTAACTTGGATTGATTATTACTGTTGTTTCAAAACGTAACTTGGATTGATTGTTGCTGTTGTTTCAAAACGTAACTTGGATTGATTATTACTGTTGTTTCAAAACGTAACTTGGATTGATTATTACTGTTGTTTCAAAATGTAACTTGGATTGATTATTACTGTTGTTTCAAAACGTAACTTGGATTGATTATTACTGTTGTTTCAAAACGTAACTTGGATTGATTATTACTGTTGTTCCAAAACGTTTTATTTATATTTCATAAATATATCACAAACATTGTGAAAATGTTTTTTTTTCCTAATTGATTAATAACAGATAAAAGAACTTGCAGTTAAAATCCTTGAAGATTACTTTCCATGGCCACCACCAGATGGCATTTTGCATTCACTAAGTGAAGAGATGTTGGCTTCAGCATTAAGATTGTGCAACAGTCCTCATGTCCAAGAATGTGATACTGGAGCTTTCATCCATCGTTTGTTATTCATCAGGTTAGGACCACATATTTTTTCAGATCTGTTATGTGGGTGTTTGGTATTTTTGTGTTATCAGAGTTTTACTTGTATATTAGGTCGTCAAGAAGTTAATATCACTTTTTTTTAGATGAAAAACCCCCACAACTTATATATCAAAACAAAACATTTATTAAATGAAATAGTCTCCATTCTTATCGATGATGCATTTCCATCTTACAATCAGGTTGTTAATGCCCTGATTAGATAAATCACTTGGCTTTGAAGCAGAAACCATGTTGATGTCCTCTTTGACACCTTCCACAGTTGCATGCGTTTTCCCATTAAGATGGTGTAGCAGTGAATGTAAAAGATGGTAATCTGATAGTGTCATATCTGGAGAATATGGTGGGTGTGGGAAAACTTCCCAACCCAACTCCATAATCTTGTGTTGTGTCAGACGTGCCACATGTGGGTGTACATTGTCGTGGAGAAGAAGAACACCTTTCCGATTGACCAGTGAAGGGCGTTTCCGATGAAGGGCTTGATTTAAACGTTCCAGTTGCTGACTATAGATCTCTGCATTGACA